TTGTATGGCCAGCAAATTAGCATCACTCTCTAGCACAATTACACAGCAAGCACAAAAAGGCTTAGAAAGAGAAAGCAAGATAAGTTCACTAGCAGTGACCGAGCAGTAGACCACGACCAGTCATTAAAACTGAAACAGAGTTTGATATGCAGTCTCTCATGAGCTGAAACTAGTTAAGACGACACAGTCTATATATGTCTTGCTACTCCTGATTATATCAGTATATATCTCAATATTGTTCAATGACCTTGTCCACTATAAGGCTTATACTATTTATCATTTCCACCAACTTTCCCATTGCCAAGAAACCCTCCGGTGAGCACCTTATTTCTGCCAAGAGCACTACTTGAAGCACCCGCACTCCGTTCCTCACCTGTCTAAGGCCGCTCGTAATACTGCAGAAATACAAAAAATTCAAAAAAAAAAAAAAAATGTCAGCAGGCTGAGAAATCATTTCCCCTTATTAAACATTTTTCCTATCCTAGTCCTAGCACTATTTGAAACCCGCACTTATTCATATTAAAAGATGATAAACTTGAAATTCCAGAAAACAACATATCGTTGCTTCCATACTGTTGTTAACTAACAATGTGACGTATCGTAGCTACTGAAGGGTAAAAAGCTAGATCATATATGCAGGGTAATGGCCTTTTGAGCACCTTCCTGGCCCAGCCCAAATTAAGATATGTATTCAAGCCATATGTCCAGAACAGCAACACCAGACCAAGAAATTCCTACTGCAAATGTCTAGTATATTAATCCCAACAGTGGTCATAAAAGGAAATATGACTATACGTGTATCACAGTTTTATATGGCATTGGGCCAGGATAAATGGAGAATACAGTTTTATGAAGTGATTGTTCTAGAGCACACAGAAATCAAACAAAAATATTCTGCTGTGCCCCTATAAATCCAGCCTTTATCGGGAAAAATCACAACGGAGCAACACTGCAAAATTAAAGGCTAATATAATGTTATAAGTAGGACCTCATGTGATCGTACCCGGAGTATAGAAGCTCACAAAGGGGATAATGTCATAGAAACCATAGCTTAAAACCTTGGTGACCTGCCCAGAGTTCAGATCAAAAGTGTAGACCCCATCAACCGTATACACGAAGATGACACCCACGGCATCCGCAACGGCAACCACACAGAACGCAAGGCCGCGACGTGGAGCCATCCCTGTTGACATCTACAGGATCGGCGGGACCCGCATAAAGAAGAAGGACCCGGCGATCCTGAAAGCCTTCTTCTCTCTCGTTCTTCTCCTTTTCCTCCGCTGTAACCCGCACTATCCCTTCGCTTATAAAAGGAGACAGATAACGCGCGACCGGTCACGCTGTAGGCCGAGCGCGCGACCTGCCATATGCGCCATGGCACAGGATGTGTGTCCGTCCCGACCAGCCACGCTACGGCCTAACACTTTTCCACTTCCAGCCCGCAGTCCGTGGCGTAACTTGCAAATCTTGTTTACTTTGTGATATCATGATGACACAAACAAAAAAAAAGGAGATTTTTTTTAAATTGCTATAACTTTTCAATGGGGTAACCGTTTTCAATTTTGTCTGCACCGTTGTGTTCTACGTGATGAGACGGACAAAACTAGACCCCCACTTGCATATGTTTCAAAGAACTTAATTTTAGTAGCAATTTATGAGTAAATATGTATTATGAAATTTATTAAAGGAGTTACTACCATATAACACTAAAGTTGTTACTAAAAATATTCTAAAGTTGTTATGTAGTATGCACAATGATTGTTACCATGGAAATATAATAAAATTGTTATACAATATTTACATAAGAGAATAGCGACTCAAAACAAAGACAAGCTGCAATCTTAGAGGACAAATTATTAAAACAAGCATTGCATAAGCTGCCAACTAGGGGCAAGTTATTATACAACACATTACAAAAGCAAGGAAATATGACTTGCTGCCAACCAGGGATATTTAGTAAAAAAAAGAGGGTAGCGGCACAAAACAAGACAAGCTACACCCCTTGGGGTAAATTATTAGAACAAGCATTGCATAAGCTGTCAACTCGATGGGCAAGTTATTATATAACCCACTATATGAGTCAGGAAACATGACTAGCTGACAATTGAAGGGACATTTATTGAAAAGATAACCAGAAAATTAAAATGAAATTGACAAACAGAAACCGAAAACTAAAGTAGACACAATGAATAAAAAAACAGAAACATAAAACCAAAAACTAAAGTAGGCATTCGAACCTAAAAAGGGAAACTAAACCACTAAAATAGCTACTACAAACTAAAACAGAAATTGACAACCAGAAAATTAAAATAAAATTGACAAATAGAAACTAAAACTAAAATAGACGCAGTGAAAAAAAGAACTGAAACATAAAACTTAAAACTAAAGTAGGCATTTGAAACCTAAAAGGAAAACTAAAACAATGAAAATAGCTACCAGAAACTAAAAAGAAATTGACAACTAGAAAATTGAACTGAAATTGACAAATAGAAACTAAAAAATAAAGTAGTCACAATAAAAAACAAAGTAATATCGAACCTGAAAAGAAAACTAAACCACTAAAATACCTACCAGAAACTAATATTGAAATTGAAAACTAGAAAAGTTGAACTGAAATTGACAAATAGAAATTGAAAACTAAAGTAGACACAATAAAAAAAGCTAAAACATATTACAAAAACTGAAATTACCGGATACTAAACCTGAAATTGACAACCAAAAAATTTAAGTGAAATCAACAAAACTGAAAACTAAAATAGACATAATGAAAAACAAACAACTGAAATTAAAATTACTAGAAACTGAAACTAAAAAAACTAAAGTTGACAACCAATCATAGCCACCAATAAAATCCACAAGATGCCAACTTGGAAAATACGGACAAAAATTGTTTATATTTTCACAATCTACCTAAATTGATATATATTAATATATAAGTAGGACCATACATACAACATAAGTTGCCACTATATATAAATATAATGTAAAATATATGCATCATAGATCTGGTTTTGTAGATTTTATTGTAAGTAGATCGGTGGACTAAATTGAAAACGAACACCTAGTAGAAAACTATGGTATTTTCAAAATTATGTAGAAATCCTAAATTTCAAAAACGCTGCGGATCCACGTACGCCACCAGCCCATAGAAGCTTTTTCTTTCACTTTTTTTATTTGGGCTGCCGCTACGGCGTGCCCAAGTGCATGCGAATAGGCCTTTCACGACGCTTTTCCTTTCATTTTTTATTTGGGCTGCCGCTACGGCGTGCGCGTGTGCATGCGACTCACCAGCTAGGCCACCAGACCTTTCGCGACGGGGTCGCGCGCCCTATGCTTAGCGCAACCGGCCGCGCGTTAAACTTTGTGATAATGACAGGGTCAGGGCGTCTAGCGGATGGACGCTTCGCTTAACCCAGGCAACTCCTCAATATTTCCCCACTCTCTTGTTCGGTCGCAACCACTACTTCCACGGAGCCGTCCATCCACAACGGCCGCATCCACCGCGTAATACGCCCGCTGTGGCCAACGCGACATCTGCTCGCACCCACTTTGCCGTGCCGCAACGACAATCCTCCGTTGCATCCCATCCCACTGTGCGCCCGCCCCAATCCCGCGCTACGCCACCATCCCGCGTCGCGCCCCCGGCCATCTCTCCTCGTTTGTCCGGTGGCCTCCTCCCTCACCCCGGCGTCCTCACCCACCGGGAGAGCCCAACGCTCGCGGATCCAGTGGCTGTCTCCCCCACCTGGCGAGATCCAAGCAAGCCACTGAACCTCCCCTACCTCGGCCGCCGGTGTCCTCCTTAGATCCGGCAGCGTCTCCTCTCCCTCGGCCGACGGCGGGCATTGTGGGCGTGCGGGCGCGCACCATCCAGCGAGCCTGCGGCACCACAGTTGCCCACCAAGTAGGTCATGCTGTGTTTCAAGTGTTTCTGGACGCTTTTCAGACATGTTGCAAGCCCATGTTTCAAGTGTTTCAGTTGTTTTAGATGTATGTTTCAATTGTTTCATGCGGATGTTGCATATGTTGCAATGATTGTACACGTATGTTGCAAGCGTCTATCCCCAATGTTTCATCTGTTTTTTTGTACAGGTATGTTGCAAGTGTTTCAGACGTATGTCTTAAGTGTTTCATGTGTCTTCTTTTGTATGTTGCAAGTGTTGCATCAGGATGTTTCAAAAGTATATCGGGATGTTGCATATGTTGCAATGGTGTTTCATGTGTCTTCTTTTGTATATTGCAAGTGTTGCATCAGGATGTTTCAAAAGTATATCGGGATGTTACACATGTTGCCCATAGAGAGATGACTGTATTTTAGATACTAAAAATCTATCTATCTATCTATACAACCCCCCACTAAGTGTGGAGGATGCGCGACACGTGTTACTAAGTACGTAGAACATTGAGATACTCCATCCGTTCTAAATTATAAGTCGCTTTAATTTTTTGGCTCATCCATTTTGCTATACATCTAGACATATTATTATATCTAAATGCAGAGCAAAATAGATGTACTAAAAAAGTCAAAGTGACTTATAATTTAGAACGGAGGGAGTAAGTGGTAACCAAACAGAGAGCGATAAAATAAATTCAATGTGGTGCAAGTGCTAAAAAAATGCATTAGTTAAAATTTGTATGGCCAGCAAATTAGCATCACTCTCTAGCACAATTACACAGCAAGCACAAAAAGGCTTAGAAAGAGAAAGCAAGATAAGTTCACTAGCAGTGACCGAGCAGTAGACCACGACCAGTCATTAAAACTGAAACAGAGTTTGATATGCAGTCTCTCATGAGCTGAAACTAGTTAAGACGACACAGTCTATATATGTCTTGCTACTCCTGATTATATCAGTATATATCTCAATATTGTTCAATGACCTTGTCCACTATAAGGCTTATACTATTTATCATTTCCACCAACTTTCCCATTGCCAAGAAACCCTCCGGTGAGCACCTTATTTCTGCCAAGAGCACTACTTGAAGCACCCGCACTCCGTTCCTCACCTGTCTAAGGCCGCTCGTAATACTGCAGAAATACAAAAAATTCAAAAAAAAAAAAATGTCAGCAGGCTGAGAAATCATTTCCCCTTATTAAACATTTTTCCTATCCTAGTCCTAGCACTATTTGAAACCCGCACTTATTCATATTAAAAGATGATAAACTTGAAATTCCAGAAAACAACATATCGTGGCTTCCATACTGTTGTTAACTAACAATGTGACGTATCGTAGCTACTGAAGGGTAAAAAGCTAGATCATATATGCAGGGTAATGGCCTTTTGAGCACCTTCCTGGCCCAGCCCAAATTAAGATATGTATTCAAGCCATATGTCCAGAACAGCAACACCAGACCAAGAAATTCCTACTACACATGTCTAGCATATTAATCCCAACAGTGGTCATAAAAGGAAATATGACTATACGTGTATCACAGTTTTATATGGCATTGGGCCAGGATAAATGGAGAATACAGTTTTATGAAGTGATTGTTCTAGAGCACACAGAAATGAAACAAAAATATTCTGCTGTGCCCCTATAAATCCAGCCTTTATCGGGAAAAATCACAACGGAGCAACACTGCAAAATTAAAGGCTAATATAATGTTATAAGTAGGACCTCATGTGATCGTACCTGGAGTATAGAAGCTCACAAAGGGGATAATGTCATAGAAACCATAGCTTAAAACCTTGGTGACCTGCCCAGAGTTCAGATCAAAAGTGTAGACCCCATCAACCGTATACACGAAGATGACACCCACGGCATCCGCAACGGCAACCACACAGAACGCAAGGGCATGAGCAGGGAGCAGCGTCCTGAGCTCAATGTGTCTACTCACTACCCATTGTTCCACATTTCCATCAGCACTAACCTCCATTGACCAGAGTATGAGATTAGACTCCATGTCCACTTCCGCGAGCCCTAGGCCGCCATCTTCCATCGCCATGGGCACAACGCGGCGAGGATACCAACTGATCGGTACGTGCATCACAGACATCACCCTCGTGGCCAGATCGTACTTGAGCATTGCCATTCCCATCCGAAAGACAAAGTAAAGTGCATTCCCTGCTAGAGCAGGGAGCACCGCCTCATGGAGATAATCATAAGGAAGGTTCGCAGAGGTCGATTCACTCCATGTGGCAGAATCTGATGAGTAGACGCTGGCAAACATCTCCTTGTCGTCGATGCCAACAAAGATGACGTGGAAGTCCCCCGGGCGGCAACCTAGGTGGTCGCAGGTGCCAAGGCCGGCGGCGCCGGCGGTGGCGCAAAGCACCGCGGCGGTCCAGTTGCGCACCGGCTGGTCCCGCAGCAGAGGTGGCAGGGGCCACTGCTCATCGGTGATAGGGTCCCAAACGATGAGAGCGGCCTCCACTCCCTGGAACACGTCGCCGCATCGAGCGATTCTGTTGAGGAGGACCCGGCCGTGGCGGGCGTCGTGTGCGCGGTAGTCGTGGCGGTCGGGGCGGACCGGCCGGAACGCGTGCGTGGGGATGAAGCGTGCGTACCCGCCTGTGTCGATGAGGTTGCCGAGGAACCCCAGCAGCAGTGGCGTCCGGTGGCGCTCGCGGTATCGGCGGCGGAAGCCACGACTAGTGAGGAGGCGGGCCCAGTGCTTGCAGACGAGAGCGACACAGAGGAGATGCTCATGGTCGTCAGGAGGGATGCAGAGCAAGATCTCCTCGACGATCTCGTCCGGCAGCCGCGGCGGCGTGCGCTGGGTACCTAGTAGGTCGGGGAAGCTGAATTCCGCGCTTCCGCTTCCGCTTCCGCTTCCGAGAGAGAGGAAACCAGGGGGCAGTTTCTCCATGGATCGAGGGCTATCTTGTGGGGTCCACAAGACTAGGATTGAACTTTTCCTATCAAAAAAGAATTTTAATAAATACAGAAAAACATGCCTTAACAGTTAAGAAATCTGCCAAATTTCTTGACTTTGGCGACTATCTAGACACACATGGTTTTAGGGTTATCATCAGGGTCCACACGGCTTAGAGGGAGGCTTGCGGGCCCTGTGATGGTGGTTGGTTGGTGTGAAGGTGATGCGAGCTCTCGCCGGAGTGGCAAGGGCTGATGGATGAGCAGAGTCGCCAATAAGAGTAACAAATCTTAAACATATATACCATGGAGGCGGCAAGGAGTAGTGGATCTGTCGCCACATATAGGGGAGGAATGTAGTTGTCTTACCAGATTAGAAGAGCATCCGACGCGAAGGCAGGTTTGCGTCGATGGAGGAGTCAAGAGCGACGGCGGGGCTGTCTTAGTGCTAGGCACAACAGTGGCACTGCACAGTGTTGGGTAAGAGCTTGAGCTCTTGCGGCGGTAGGTGGGAATGAGGGAGAGGTATTTAGGGTTGGGTTTCTTATATAGATATCTAATCTAAATCTATGACGTCCGATTCTAATCGGAGGGACTAAAACGGACTAAAGTCTAACCGGCATAAACCTTCTAAATTTGTCATCAGATAACCAGACATGCAAGCGATGGAACCTTTAGATGGAGTCCATTTTTGTATTTTTGCTTGTGTTGCCTTCTAGTTCTCGCAAGTCATCCCTAGAGTATGGTTGCAGTTTCTCAAAACAAAGAAGTCTTTACTACTATATAAAAGTATCGGTGTTTTTACCGCCAACAATAACAATGGGATGTATCATGCAGTACCTCATATCGAGACTTCATTGCCGGTTCAAACCCCCCCTTCAATGTCGGATTTTGAACCAGCACAACGAAACTAGTAGTGATGGAAGGTTCACATCGGTGCCGGTTCTTATAAACCGGTAGTGATCACAATCTTCACTGGTTTGTGGAGCCTTCATGAACAACAATTGTATCTCAAAACTATAATTTATTCTACATTAGTTGAAATTGGTTGCCCCATTTTGAAAACAATTATTCTACACTAATTACAGGAAAATTGAAATTGGTAGCCCCCATAAAAATTGAAATTGGTAGCTGTCATGCGCCTAGATTAGGGACCCAACATCTGGTCAAGCGGGCCAGGAGGAGCCCATGACCCAACCCTGACCAACCCGAACCCCTGGCGCGCGAGGTAGCCTGGGTGCATAGCCAGGGGGCGGGCCACCTCCGCTCCTCAAATTGCCCTGCATCCAAGGTGATCCAGAATAAAAAGGAGAAAAGAAGAAAATATAGGAAAATAAATAGGACATCGCTTGGATAAAATAAATTAGGAATTAGCCAGGGAATAAATAACTTACTTGTAAATGAAGCGGTCCAAATCTCTAAGGACTCTTCTCTTAATGTTTCTGGAAAGAAAGTCTAACAAAGGCTTACGTCTACTCATCTGAGGCCAATAAGTGGAGCCGGACAGCCTCTATTGAGCTACCTTGGTATGTTGAGCAACGTTGCAATTCCAGTGCCCTTGTCGAGAATGCACTCTACTTCCTACAGCACAACAATGGAATCCTAGAGTACGATTTGGCCAAGAATGAGCTGTCAGTCATAAGGCTACCCCCGATATGCATCGTGTCTACCAGTATTGTGCTCATGTCAGTGGAGGATGATGGGTTGGGATTTGCCATGATGTATGACGATTTCTCTCTCTGCATATGGTCGAGGGTCAGCAGCACCGTCTTCTTCCTCGTGAGTGTGTCCGTGTCGGAAACTGTCGTCTCTGGGAATCTGCGCCGCCCACGCCCCTCCTTGCCTTGTGCCCAAGACATTCCTGGCTATAAAAACTGGTTGCCTGCTTCGGGCCGCGCCCGTCCCAATCTTCGAAGCCGCCCCGTCTTGTCTTGAGCTCGCAGCGCTGCCGTTAACTCTAGCACCGCCGCCACCTCCGCCGTCTCACCGAGCACCGCGCTGCTCTCGTTCGATTCACTCCGAGGTAAGCTACCTAGCCGAGCTCGCTGACATCTCCTCTCTCTCTCGGTGCCCTTGGTTTGCTGTATCATGGTCCGTAGACCGAATTCGACGAGCACCGCTTGTCTCTGGCCATGGCACCACCGTGGAGCTCGCCACCGACCTCACCGGCGTCCCCCATCCCATCCAGATCTGTTTTGAGCCGTCCAATCTGAGATCAAGGGCCCATATTAGAAGATACCCCTTCGCTGCGAAATTTGCAAAAAGGCCCTTATAACTATATAGATCTCAACCCGCCGTCCCTAGTTTCTTTCAAAAGGACCCCTACCTTTTCTATTAATAGTGCCTGTAGTCCCGCCGTCGTTTTAAAATCAGAATTTGATTTATTTTATTTCAAAAATAAAGTTTCACTTATTTACAAAATTGCCAATACCTTCTATAGGCCATATCTTTTCCGTTTTAACTCCGATTTGATCCGATCAACTTGCGTTAGGCTCGTAATTCCATAATCTACATGTTCATACTACGGTTAAGTATGTTCTCAATTTTTAAAATCCAAGGTTAGATTTAATCTATTATTTTACTAAAGGAAATCTTGTTTAATTCATAACTTCTTCGTTTTAGCTTCGATTTTTGTGATCTTCGCGTCTGTGTGTTTGTAGTAAGACGTATATTTGTTTTACAAGCTTTTCATCTTGATTTTATGTTGATTGGTGTACTATTCTAATATATAGTGTTTGTTTATTATGCATGTTTGCTTCGGATGCTTGTATGTTGCTGTTATTATCGAGTATAGACGGTGAGCAATTCGCGGGTGAACAAGAGTACAACTTTGACGAGCAGGATCAGCAGGAGCATTTTGTTCAAGGCAAGTATAACATAGAATCATCCTTGTTTCCTATTCACTCTAATATATTTAATCCATGTTGCATGTGTCATCTTGATAGGGATTCCCTAGAATTGAACTTATACCTTGTCACCTATGGGATATGCATTGGGTAGCTTTGCTAGTGCTCAATTAAACCATGATCTTGTAACTTGACTAATGGTATATGCAATAAACATTAAAACTAGACTTTTTCACGACTTGGAAACATGGGGATGTTGTTTAGCTACTTTCTAAATGCTTTAGATTCCTCTCCCTATGGACTTATCTGTAAGTGATCATTCGAGACTTACAGTACAGCTGTGAGGGCTATATAGCTCTAGCTTTAACTCAGTATGAGGACCTTTTCTAGCTTGTTAGAGGTTACCATTATGGCACAAGAGGGGTGTGTTTCGGGTTGGATATAGTGCGGCCTCTGTCCGCCAGTGTATAGGCTGCGTGTCTTTGTGCCTGTCGAAAGGGGAGCCCTACATTTGCAGGGCACAGAAACCTAGCGGCCCTAACTTGTTAGACAAATCTTTGAAAGGCTTCATAGTGACCCTTTCCTGCTCACCTTGGAAGTGTTTTGGGAGTTATAAACCCGAGCATATGGGTATAACGACTCACAGTGAAAATGTACAACCTCTGTAGAGTGTAAAACTGGTATATCAGCCGTGCTCATGGTCATGAGCGGCCTTATAATCCTTATGAAATAGACGATCACTAAGAATTATCTGTTTATGCTATTCATGTTTACTTTGATCATGTGTTTTACTTTGGGATTGAAACAACTTGTTGCTACTCTTATGCTAAAACTGTGACAATTAAAAGTTGAATGCTGTTAAACCTGTGTCAAGCCTTTTGAGCCTCATGAACCCCATGTTACGCTTGTTGAGTATGACATATACTTACGCTTGTTTATTTTCATTATTTGGGTAAAAATCTTGGATGGGTAATAGATGACTATGGTAATGACGACTTTTCCTAAGGATTGCTAGACTTATGGTCAACTAGTTGACGTCCCTATGATATGGAGCTTCCGCGATAGATTTTTCTTTATATTTCTGCTATATTTATGTGAAGACTATGTCTTATCATTCGTGATGCAATAAACACTTGTGATAATACTATTTATAATTTGTCGGCTTATGTGTGTGACTGATCTCTGGACGCACATAAGATTATGCATCCCATTTTATCCTTAAAATCAGGTGTAATAGATTGGTATCAGAGCCGTGTTGACTGTAGGACACAAGCCTAGTTAGCAATAGTTGTTTTAGCTTCTTTTGCTTCACTCATTTCATGCTTTCCATCTCACCCTTGTTATTTGCTAAAGTTTTATGCTTTTTTTGCCTCACTCTATTATGAAAATTATTGCTTCTAATCTGACTAAATCTAATTCTGTAGATGCCTCGTGCTAATAAGACCACTCGCATCAGCACCAGAGGCTACTACCCGCCTCGTGGCTTGTCCATGGAGTCACATGAGGAGGAGGAACCCTAGGAACAAGAAGTTGATTCGCCAGCACCTGCACCTACGCCGAAGCCATTCCAGGAAGAGCCTAAAGAAGAAGAACCCGAAGAAGTGAAGGTCGTCTTATTATCTGATGATGATGATGATGAGGAGGACGCCGTTCAAGAGGATGAGCTGATCCCTCCCCTGGGAAGGACTACGAAGGTCTAGTACAAGGCGGGGTGTTAATCCTCTATCTTGCACCACCAACTTATGGGGATTCTTCATACCTACTACGGTGATTGGGACGCAGCTGTTGAGTATGTCTGCATCGAGCGTACGCACCCTCTGGAGGACACTTATTGGAAGACCAGGGTGTGCATATCCATCAGGGATGAACAGAAGGAAGCATACCAGCTGGACTCGAACTATGCGCAGCACGCTCACTATGCCACCATGGAAGATATCATAGAAGATGCAGGCGCTGCAGCCTGCATGGGTCTCTATGGTCGTCGCTTTGAGGATATGAAGGAGGACCAATATCGATTCCTCCCTCTCCAACACCCTGAATTGGATTGGGCAATGATGGACCCATAGGGCATGGATCCAACTACCCAAGTGATGGTACACTTTGGCTGTGAGTCGGTAGCGAAGATTCGGCGACTGGAAGATCAGTTGAA